TAATCTACATTAGAACTGGTTTAAACACCTGATTCAGTTCTGGTGTCTGAATGGTTTAATCTAGATTAGAACTGGTTTAAACACCTGATTCAGTTCTGGTGTCTGAATGGTTTAATCTAGATTAGAACTGGTTTAAACACCTGATTCAGTTCTGGATGCTGATTCTGATCTCAGTGAAATGTTTCTGTTCGACCAATCAGAACGCAGCCTGAGACTGCGATCATGTAATAAATGTGCTGAGTCAGCTGCTGGAGCCTGAGCAGGACGTCCTGGGTCCTGATGAAGGACGTCCTATATTTACATCAAAGTTTGGTCCGTTAAGGTCCGACAGCTGGCCCGGCTCCGGCTGCACATTCCCCCACACGTAGCTCACAGCCGGCCTCTCCTGAGAACAGCGGAGCGGTCAGCACCGTGACCTTTGACCTCGGGGTTTGGACCATGAGATGGTGAGCAGAGGTTCTGTTCTGACGGTCAGTTTATTCTTCTGGGTTGATCAGAGTCTCTGGTCCGTCTGATTGGTTGGTGGAAAGTCGGCGGTAACCTCCGGACCCGAGGGACGAGCTCAGCTGGACGACACACGCCGACACGTGAAGAGGAGCGTGAAAACCAGAGGAGGTGGCATCATGTAAACATCTGAGGACCTGAGCAGGAAACAGCTGAACACCATGACGTCATCTGCTCGCTGCGGTCACGTGGTGCGTTCAGGAACCCACCGTACAGAAGAGAAGCTGCTGCAGGGATCAGCCGGGTGTCGGGTTACAGACGCCTCGGAAGCTGAAGCAGCTTTAAAAGCWCTGGTTAAAGCAAACAGGAAGTCTAATCAGGAGGGAGCTGCTCAGCCAATCAGCTGCTGGCATTTCTGACGCTTCCTTGGATCAGACAAATCTGAAGGATCAACGTTTCAGAGTCACCTTGTTAGGAACATAAGAGGCAGAGCTGCTGAGACTTTACACCTCAGCTGCATGCTAACAGCTAGCTTACAGCTGCTAAACAGAGGAGAGGTCAGGAAGTTTTATTTATCAGACAAACATCTCAAGTCTTCTGTCCAACAGAGCTTCAGCTCCTCTGYTTGGTTTTACTCTGAGCTTTAGCTGTTTACGTGTGAAAACCTTYGGCTCATTCAGCTGCTGTTTGGTTTTCAGCAGATATTATCCTGACAGAAACTTTCAGCTCTCTTCTTCAGCTGCTAGTCTGCCTTTAGCRCATCTTCTGCTACTTTTACATGTTAGCTAGCCTTTAGCTACTTTTAGATTGCAGCTACAGTTTAGCTGTTTCACTCAGTTTCAGCTGTTATTCATTGTTCCTGAAAGAAATGACTGTCACCGCTGCTTTGTGGAGGTTAGTGTGGTGGCCCAGCAGGACCTGGCCCAGCAGGACCTGGTCCAACAGGACCTGGTCCAGCAGGACCTGGTCCAGCAGGACCTTCAGAAACCTAACCAGGTTCTTCTTTAGGTGGACATGGATCTGAGAACCATCAGCAGACTGAGACCTTTTAAAACACAGTCTGGTTCTGCAGGTTCTGAAAGTTCTGAAGGATCTGCAGTTTCTGAAGGTTCTGGTCCAGGAGGACAGGACCAGGTCCTGGTCCAGGAGGACAGGACCAGGTTCAGGTCCAGGAGGACAGGACTAGGTTCAGATTTAATTTTCCCATGAATAAATGTTTTTTCTGGAGCAGCTGATAGTTTCGGCTCGTGTTCGGCTCGTTGAAATGAAAGCAGGTTTTTATTTTAGCTGTTTTCAGTCGTTCACAGATGAAGGAGTGAAGCAGCAGCTGCAGGACCCCCCCC